ATCCGCCAAATGAAAGACTACGGCTTCAAGATCGACATGATCAAGTTCGTCAATGAGCGACTTCCGATGGTGGACATTCCGCCCCAGAGAAAGAAGGAGAAAGAAAGCCCGGTGACCGAAGAAGAGAGGAAGCAGGCAAGGATGATATGCGGCGCCTTGAACTGGATCTGCAAAGAAGGATGACTAGATGCCGGTGGGGTTGCAAGTCTTATGTCCTCGAGGCTGAACAAGATGGTAGTTGAAGATCTCATCAGCCTCAATGAGGCAGTCAAGGAGGTCAAAAGTCATGCTGACTCGACCATCTCCGTTCAGCCCCTGTCCAAGATGAAGTTGGCTGTCGTCACAGACGCCTCTTGTGGAAACCACGGTTTCCACAGCCAAGGAGGACAGATGATTCTGAGCCATGAAGATGGCGTAAAGGATGGCAATGAAGTCACCACGAACTTGCTGTGGTGGCGCAGTGGAAAACTTCAGAGAGTAGCCAATTCAACACTTGCCGCTGAGACTCAGAGTTTGAGCCGTGGTCTCATGTGGATGATGTTGCTTTTCCGAGAGCTCGAAGAACCGTCGCTTCACGTGAGAAATTGGGCCACAACTTGTCCAATGAACAATTTTTAGCCCTCGCTTTGAATCATAGCGATGATCGTCTGAAGGAGAGTCTTGCCATTGTCGATGCCAAGTCCCTCTACGACTATTTGGCCCGTGAGACCCTTGGAGGCCAAGAACCGCCATCGAGGTTCAGATAGTGAGAGAGGAGCTAGACTCCATAGGGGGGCAGATCCGATGGGTGGATCATCCATCCATGGTCGATGACTAAGGTGAAAGGAACCAAGTCTGCTCTTTTGAAGAGACCGGGCGCTTTTCCATTCAGGCCGAGAAGGATCTGATGGCGACCCGAGAAGATGCGAAGAGCCAGGGACAAACATCCTCAGATTTGAGGAAGAAGGGAAATAGGAGCTCAGGCCAACAAGAATTTGGGGAGCTGTCAAATGTTTTTCGTTCGCGAACCATGCCTTGACCTGAGCTCCGCGGAACCATGGATGCATGGATGTATGTATGTATGTATGTTGGTATGGTTTGGTTTGGTATGGCATGGTATGGTATGGCATGGATGTATGGATGGATGGATGGATGGTATGTATCTATGTATGTATGTACGTATGTACGTATGTACGCATGTATGTGTGTATGTATGTATGTATGTATCGATGGATGGGTGGATGGTATGATGGTATGTATGTATGTATGTATGTATGTATGGTATGTATGTATGTCTGTATGTATGGTATGCGTGGTATGCGTGGTATGTATGTATGTTTGTCTGTCTGTATGTCTGTATGTATGTCTGTATGTCATGTCTGTCTGTCTGTATGTCTGTATGTATGTCTGTCTGTCTGTCTGTCTGTCTGTATGTATGTATGTATGTATGTATGTTTTTTCCTAGAGGTGCTTTTGCTTCTGCATGTCGCAGGCCCTTGTGGCCGGTGTCAGGAGGCCGCCCCATGTACAGCAGCAGCTAGAAGTAGTCCACGGCGTAGGCTTCGTGGTCGCTTTGTTCGGCCTCTTGTGAGAGCTGAGGGCTTCGTTTGTGCGCGCCGGTTGGCCTCACTGCTGGTGAGGGCAGTGGAGAAGTGCAGTCGCCATGGAGTCGGTCTGGGAGGCCTCTCCTCAGTGATGTTCAGCAGGCTGGATTGCAGCCGCGCTGGAAGCCTGAGAGGTGGATTGCTGGGTCTGGTGCCGGAAGAAGGACTGGATCGGTGGAGAGCCTCTCAGCCCGGCTTTTGGAAGGTGGTGCCTCCTATGACTCTCCTCTGGCTATCGAGGTGGAGCTGGAGCCCGCAGAGAGTGCAAGTGACTTGATTGCCTTTCTGCCACAGCTTGTGGCTTTGGTGTCCACCATGTGCCGCAGTGTAGGGCTGGTCCAGGCGTTGGCTGGTGACAAACTCTTGAAATATCTGCTCGTTGGTGCGTTTGTGGATGTCTCCTCAAAGAGATGTCTCTCTTTGGGTGGTTGTTCAGCTTGTTGAGCCTGTAGCAGTTGTGGTCGGTGGTTCCGGTCGGTGTGCATCTATTTGCAGCTGTGGGCATTGCTCCCGGAGCCTTTCTTCCAGAGCGGCTGCTGTTAGCCCCTGATGCACACGAGTTCCGCATGCACTGCAGTGGTAGCCGCAAGCCCTGACTCAGTAGGGCCAGGGTGCTGAAGCGCAGGAAGGTGCCCTGCTGAAGATACACTGTGGACAGTGCTGCAGAGGCTTTGAAGTTGAGAGGCCTCCTGCAAACAGGTTGGAAATTCGACAAGACAATTGAGGAAGCTGCTCTCTTGAGTTGTTACTTTCTTTGGAAGTATAGAGGGAACTCGTTGGCTTTTGATGCGTCGGTGAAAGTTGACATAAGTTGACCCAGTGTTGATGTTCAAGGCGATGTGCTTGGAGGTAGTCCTCAAAGGCTTGCGCTTGGGGTGGCCCATGAAGGTTGAATGAAAAGATGGTGGCAAGGGCCCGACAGCGCCTCCCCAAGGAAACAATGTCGCAAAGGCCGGCTCTGCGCCAAAAAACATTTTCCTCGTGTTCAATCACTACCATGAAAGCTGTTCACTGGAACCTCAATCTTGGAAGTATACAAGGGTTCGACCCACCAACGCCCCCTTGTGCTTCAAGGGAATTCCAATGCCCCCAATGTTGGGGCAGCTTTGGTGCCGCCATTTCGTCTGTTGACCGTGAAGAAATCGCAGGATGTGAAGGTGAATGCTGGCGGAGGGTGGATACTTTGCAAAAGTAGTGCAGTGGCAAGCGCTCTTGGTGATCTCAGTGGACGCTGCGAAGGAAAATGCCTTCATCAAGTTCTTTCCTTCATAGTGTACCTCAAGAAGACAGAAGTCGATCTGGGGTTTTCCCCCGGGGCGAGCCTTGTAGCAGCATAGATGGTCACCTCTTGTGGCTGGAGCAACATGTGGAGGACCTGACGCTCAAAGTTGTCGCACTCAAGCGCTTGGGCCAAATAGGCTAACAGGCTGGACCAAAAGACATTCGACTCCAGGAGATCGGCGCTACAGCAAGCCGACGAAGGTCCAAATGGCCCTTTTTAGGCCAAAGCAGTTGCTGCCGGCTTCCGGTTCCTGGAAGATAGAAACCTTGTCGCCCGCGCGTAAAGATTTGCTTGATGAGCCTCCATACGAACAGAAGCGGTGCAAGAAGGTCAAGCGTGGCTCTTGTTTCGACCGGGTTTTTGCGTCGTCTCTTTTGTCGCATGACAAACGGAGAAACATCGTAGCTGTAGAGTGTGGTGTTGCAAACCAAGGCCCGTCTTTGGGTTGCAGGAGCTGCTGGGGTAATTGTTTTCTCGAGATGAGTTTGAGAAGCGCAGGTCAGCCCATGGAAGTCGTTATGACATGGCAGAGCATGCGTGCGAATATGTCAGCGTGTGTGGAAGACAGAGGAGAAGCCTTGGACCGCCAGATGTGTTGAGAAGAGTGTCTCATACGCAGACACTGAAGGCGTTGAGTTGGCTCAAACCAGGTTTAGGCATGTGGAGACCTTCTTTTGATGTACTGCGAAGCGACCTTTTGTTTTGTGAACTTATGCTGCAATGCTGCACCACCCAAAGGCCAGGTGATCAGTTTTTGCGCCAAGTTCCACAGTTCGGAATGTTTTTGAGGCTCAGGTTTGGGTACACTTGCGCACCTTATCCAGACGTGAAGGTCCCGGTAGGCGTCGTTGGGGTGTCCGTTCAACTTTGGGGGTGGAGCACTTTTGGAATGAGCCTCACATCTTTGTGCCCAGGCTGTGGACGGAAACGAAGTAGGATTTAGATCATCGATGTGCCGAGGTGATGTTCCAGATGCAGAAGAAAAGGATGCGTGGGAAGACTTTGGTGAGTTGATTTCTTTCCAGGCCATACATTTTTTTGGTTGACTGGCCACAACGCATGCGTTGGCAGCGGTAAACGGGAAGAACGACAACATTGACATTTTCTGCTGCTCAGAGCGAACCGAGTGAAACCCAGAAAACCGCACCTTGAGGTGAAGAGGATGCAAACTTCAGAAAACAGATGAGTTTGTTGAGCTTGGTGAGCCCTGAAGCCACGGCTTTCCAAAGGACAATGTGCAAACTGGAGCTGGGAAGGTCGAGTTTTTTGGACAACATGGCCTGATTGTTGGCCACAGTTTTTTCTTCACCCCTTCTTTTTGAGCTGCCACCCGTATACCACTGTATAATCCGGTTTAGGATCATTTTTTGGTCTTGCGGAAATTAACTAACTATGCCAGTCTGTTGGACCTCGGGTTGACTGTGCAGGCAAGACATTTTGAATCTTCCAATGGTTGCGACGCCCTTCTCCAAGTGTCCTTTGCTATTGTTTGATACAAAAAATTGGGAACTCATGTTTGAGCTTACCGCTCCAGCAGCAATGTGCGTTTATAAACATCTTAATCTCGGAAAATTGGATTCAGAAAACCAAGCCTTCTCAGCGCTTGCAGCATTTTATTTTTGGCATGAGATCACGTTGGACAGAAACATGCCAGATGCAGATCTTGCGTTGTGGGGAACAAAGGAAATGGTTCCAAAGTCCTGTATTGGACATGAGTTGCATCTTCATGAGGACTTGAGAAACACGTGGCCTTTTTCAGAGCGTTGATGTATCAGCTTTGAAGATTTCCACTGTTGGTGCTGCTTAGACTGGCACGTGTTCCTTTGAAAGGCCACGTTTGGGCAAGCCTTTTGCATGTGCAGTCCACAGTGCTGCACAGTGCTCAATTTTCGACATACTTTCCCGCGCATCATCATCATCATCATCATCATCATCAGGCATTAAAATGGAGTGCAAGTGAGGCAGAGTGCGATTTTGTAGCCCTGGCAGCCATGTACGGTAACATTGTTGATGTTCAGATGTGGCAGAGTCTGATTCTGCGTTCGGTGCTATCAAACGGATCCTGATGGGATGATTGCTCATGCGGTTTGGAATTCCTCACGTCAATACATAAGCACATCATTGGACTGTTCCACAGTTTTTAAATAACATGTGCATATCCAAGTCCGCAATAACCGTCTCCTGGTTGACGCTAACGTGGGCCCGCTGCGCGGATGGTAGCAGGATGGGAAGTGAGCATGGAAGCAAGCATGAAGGGCATAGTGCCCCAAATGGCACGATCAGTCGCCGGCAAAAAGCTTCCACCCGTTCCACTGGAAGCTCAACAAGTGGGAGCAAGTGGAAAGCTGCCAACGTCCATTATGCTTTTCTACCAATATGTGGAGCCTGCTTGGACTCCAAAGCAGCACCGCAGAGCTCTCACCTTCGCCAGAAGCTGAGAAGATGGGACACTTAAAGCCTGAGTTAACTTTGGATGGGACACTTTTAAAGCCTGAGTTAACTTTGGATGAATTTCCCAGGTGCATGACCTTGGCCGAAGACATGGTTCTTGGCCTCAGATCAATTCCATGCGCCTGCCTAAGCTGTACTATTATTGCTCAAGATTCCTTTTGAGGTGTGACTGGAAGAGGGCGCTGCTCCACAGAAGGGTTGAACCTTGCCCTGAGTTGCTGCGCACTTTCTTGCAACTGCTACTGCTTCTTAGCACATGATACCAAGTTTCTTCTACTAAAACGTGCTCCTATTAAACATGGTGCAGTTGTCCGGCCTCATTTCATTTGCTTTTAACTTGGGTTAGAAATTGCGCCCTTTGAAGATTCCTACTCTATCGGTGACTATCGGTGAAATCCTGACTTGTTATTTTGGCCACGAAAGGTAGCCTCAGCGACCTAAATGATGTAGGGGTGGTGGAAGTCTATGATGATTTATTTAAGTATTGATTTTAGATGCCCCCCCTTCGACTCCACCCTACGCTTTTAGGGTGATTTTGTGGCTGATGCAGCTTGCTTCCATGTCCTGTTGATCGTTGTGGTTTGGGGCTAGGTATGTGCGGCTTTGTTTGCATTTTACTGCCTTTCGAGTGTGAGAAGTCTCATCCTTCGGCACCTCCCTACTAGCAGAAGCGTCGGCTTGATCTGCCCTGCCTTCGACCCTGCTTGATTGCGTGGCTCTTCTTGCAAGCAATTGACTAGCTCCGTTTGCGCAGCCCTCCCAAAACTGTACGACAATCACGGGTTGCGCAGGCCAAAATTGTGTGACTCTTCTTGAGTTCTTGAGGTCATTCCATATGATTCGCTGGTGGTGGTCCGCTGCTAGTTTGCCGTTGCTGGTCTACTGCTGCTGGTCTGCTGCTAGTCTGCGGCTGCTGCTGCTGCTGCTGCCTGGTTGCTGCTGCTGGTGCTAATGCTGCTGCTGGTTGCTGGTTGCTGCTGCTGCTGCTGCTGCTCCCGCTCCTGCTCCTGCTCCTGCTGGTTGCTGTTGCTGCTTCTGCTGCTGCTGCTCCTGCTCCTGCTCCTGCTGGTTGCTGTTGCTGCTTCTGCTGGCTGCTGCTGCTGCTGCCGCTGCTGCTGCTGCTGCTTTGCTGCTGCTTTGCTGCTGCTTTGCTGCTGCTTTGCTGCTGCTTTGCTGCTGCTTGGCTGCTGCTTTGCTGCTGCTTTGCTGCTGCTTTGCTGCTGCTTTGCTGCTGCTTTGCTGCTGCTGCTGCACCTGCTTTGCTGCACCTGCTTTGCTGCTTCTGCTTCTGCCGCTGCCGCTGCCGCTGCTGCTGCTGCTATCACGCGCAGCGCGGGTGGTAGATTAGATGGATCAATCACAGCCTGGAGCAATTGCAAAACGTTCTCTGGCTCAGGGTATGGATAGTCGGACTACTGGTCTCGCGCGCGGGGCGCTCTGGAAGCGTCTGTGTACTCACTAGACCGGTTGCACTGACCATAGATGGAAGCCCAGAAACGAAACTGCGGAGCTGGAACTCGACGAGGTGGTGTCACTGCAATGAGTGTCTCTGAGTACGTCCAAGCACGTGGTCCCAGAATACAATCAATACGGTCACCAGTTCAAGGTCCGCAAACACTCCAAAGCAAATTCTTGCGTCAGCTTGTCTTTCTCTTGGAAGAGCTGCTGAAAGCGAGCAGGCAGGGTATCCGGTGGTCCTTGCTCTACGCGCGGAGATCCAGACCGACAGAACGTAGACGATCCAACGATCGCACTTGCGACAAAGCGACGTAGCAAGCCAGCCATCGCATATCCTTCTGCAAGCGGCGCGGAAAACGCCAATGGAAAATCAGCCCTGGATCGGTCGTCGTTCCTGGCAAGACATGCAATGTACTGGCTTTCACTGTCACCAAAGGCATTTGCGTCCTCCCAACTTTAACCATGACTTCTTCCGCTTGTCCAGCACTCAGACCAGGAAGCGAGACTTTCAACATTGGTATACGGTCGCACCACAAACATGCCGCGTAATCGCAGACAATCCGAGCAAGCTGTGGTGTATGATGAGGACATGGCTCAGCAGGTAGAAAGCTTTGTTCGACATCTTGTAATTCCACATAGATGGCCTCAGGCAAATTCCGCAACACCACAACTAGCAGCTAGCATGTAAATCACCGCGGTGACGATCTTCCGCAGAAAAATGAAAACCCTCCACAACCACATGCGGCGCCGCCAAGGTCTGCGTCAGACGGACTTCCGTGCCAACGTGATACAAACCAAAGCGAGGTAAGCGACCGGTCTCGTTCATATTCGGATGCTGCAGAACAGCTTGTGCCACCGTTGCGGCTCGATCTGGCTGCACATTCTGCACAAGTGGTGTACGCCATATTGACCACCGACCATGCAAAACAAGCTTGATAAAAGTTCTCCGCGCCGACCAGTTTCTGCGCGCCTGCGCGCGCACTCACAGCAGTGGCTTCCAGTGCCCGCCACTCGGCTTGTGATAGCTTCGCACCACCTGGAGTCCGCATCTTGTCCAAGATCGCAACCAAAACTGGGTCTTGGAATCGCATTGCCGTGCCCAAAGGATAGACGTATGTGAAGTGTCCAAATATATGCACACCTGCTTTGTGCTCGTCACTGATGCCTTCGGTGGTGGCCAGCAGAGAATGATCGAACGGAACCGGGGCAATTGTAGCTCGTCTGGCAAATGATCCCCTTTGTATGAACTTCGGTTGGAACACAGTCAGGTAGTGAATGAATGAATGAACGAGTGAGTGAGTTGCACACAGTGACCGGAGCCCCTGGATGGAACCACGCCTGGATGCTGTGCATGGCGCGAACTCTACACGTCGAGGTTCACAAAGTGCTGTACCTCCCACGAACCAAAGTGCTGTGCCTGCCACGAACTCTGCGCATCTGCGCGTCGAGGTTCACAAAGTGCTGTACCTGCCACGAACTCTTGCGCATCGAGGTTCACAAAGTGCTGTGCCTGTCACGAACTCTGCACTTCGAGGTGCTGTGCCTGCCACGAAATCTGCGCTTCGAGGTTCCGCAAAGAGGCGGCGCCTGCCACGAAATCTGCGCTTCGAGGTTCACCAATTGCTGTGCCTGCCACGAAATCTGCACATGGAGGTTCACCAATTTCTGCGCCTGCCACGAAATCTGTAAAGGTGCCGCGTGTCCAAAAGTCACGATTCACTGCACTTGTCACGAAATCTGAGCTCCTCGGCGATCGCCACGAAAAGTCACCACCGTATGCGAAATGCGCACGGCGCCGCAGCGAGAGCGCAGTCGTTAGAAGCACCCGTCGCGGGCCCCAGATTCAGCGAGCCTGCGCAGTCGAAATGCATGTGGACGATTTCAGGAGGTATGGATGTGCTGTAAATAGCAGCGAATTAGCCGCACACGCCCGCGCGCTTCAGCGATCTAAGCATCAGCTGCTTTTCTATTACCGTAAGAACCCCTAAATGTGTCCACAGTTTTCCGAAAAGCACTGACCACAACAGATTCGTAGCCGTAACGCTTGGCAGTGCACTACCAACAGGTAAACATCCCCAGCGGTTTATTCAGCAGATAGATTGATATTTCTTGAAGGGAAGGCATCGAACGTCGTGTCGATGAAGTGAATAACTGCACCGACAGGGACTCCTTTTTGGCTTGGCACTTAAATTGTCGGGGTCGGCTTGGGACGCGAGGCTTGTTGCTGGGAGTGACTCTTTGAAGATTTTTTGACTGCCACGAGGAATTGCACTCTGACAGGGTCTGCGGAAGGCATTCGGGCGTTTGCCCAAGGGCTCCGAGCAACACGGCGGTAACTTTGTGACTCTGCAGACTTGTTCAATGAGAGCAGTCCGAGAATCGCTTGTGGGCTCAGGATTGGGACTCTTTATTTGATGAGACAGACTTCAAAATCACCGATGGTTTGGATCATCGCAAGAAATTCAAGCACCTTGTTGACATTGGTGTTCCCTAGGTGCGGGGAACGTGTGTTTATAAATATATTCACACATGTAAAAAATATATGTATACCTCTTTCTATGTGTGTATATATATATATGTGTATATATATATATTTATTAAAACACACACACATATATTATATATATTTATATTTTTTGCACACAACCTAGGAAGGGTCTCTTGGGTCAACTTGAACCGTTTTGCTACATGCCTTTTTTCTGATCAACCTGTCGTCAGCAGCATGTTGAACCTTATGCGCATCAAGGCGTTTGTTTCTGTGAAAGTCACATTCCATTTCGAAACGAAACCACATGGCATCACGGAAAGCCAAGCGCTGTGATGACCTTTGGCTCAAGGTTCGGAAAAGCCCGACGCGCTGGGCACCCCATTTCATAACCACAGGTTATGAGCCCAAGGTGATTTTTTCTTTTTCCAAGTCCACCTCTTGCCGCTTCGTGGGCGGAAGAGTGCTGGTCCCCATGGAGCAGCGGCGACGGCGCCAGCAGCGATCGAGAGAAAGGAAGGAGGCCGTGGAGCCGCAGGTGGAGATCGGAGCGGTGGATCGCCGGCTGGATGCTTTGATTGAGGAGGAGCTGAAAGCCACGGCGGCGAGAGCGCAATCAGTGCCTGTGAGGGCTGCTGAAGTGAAGTGGCTGGGCGGCGCTGCTGGGGTTGGATCGGGCCAGGGAGGCCCTCCGATGGTGGCTGCATCGAGTGGTCACCAAGGACAACAAGAAGTTTGACAGTTGCTGAGTGACCCAAAAGGCCAAGTGACGGGACTTGGGCATTTGCAGGAGGCAGTTCGGCAGTCATTTGAAGTGTTGCAGCATGCTCTTCAAAGGCCAAGTTCCCAGCCGACCCTACTTGATCCTCTTCTTCGGCCCGGCGATCAGGGAGGTCATGCCGGTACCGGATGCGGAGTTCTCCCGGGGCACGGGCTGGCAGCTGGCACTCCTTTGCGGCAGAGCGGGGTTGAAATGGAGCGCATGGGAGCTTCACCTTACATGGCTGGAGCGGGACGTGACGACCTACATCCTCGGGTGCTGGAGCCTTATCCTACCACTCCGGTGGGACCATTGGGGACGGTGAATCCTTTCTGGAGCGCTTCGGTGCAGCAAGCGGCCAAGGGTGAGTCACATGTTCGTGAGTCTGAGGTGACCAGAGGCCAACCTCCTGCGCCAAGCCCAGGGTTGGGACATGTTGAACGTCTTCGGGAACGCATCTTGAGGGAGGCCGAGGAGACCTTTGCTCGGGAGGTGAAGAAGATGACGGACGCTGGAGATTCGGCATCATTTACGTCGGTGCCGAGTGCGAAGGCGGAGGGACAGCAAGAGCCAGTGGGGGAGCCTACAAAGCTTGGTGGACCACCTGATACTCCTCCTGGTCTTGCTCCAGTACATGATCCTCGAGGTCATGGAAGTGGATTGATTGGAGCTGCGAATGTGATGAAGCCGCTGGAGTCAGTGACAGCTGCACTGCCTGAGGCAATGCGGAATTTGGAGTTGCCACAGTTGCCATCACCTTCAACTGAGAATGCGGCCCTGCTCTTTGGGGACTGGCTGACGGTGATTTCTCCGTTGATGGGAGACCTCAGTACGTCGTCTGGGGAGTTTTGGGATTGGGTGCAGCGAGAAGTGGAGGTGAAATACAATGAATGGCTTTTGGCGACACCATTGGGGCGGTTGAGAATCAAGGTGGAGGAGCAGGTGTCCCCACGGTTCCAACGACTGGATCAGCGGGCGAGCTCTACTTTGCTGGCTGCGCTTCCGGAACCGGTGAGAAAGGACATTGTTGCAAGTCGAAGGGTGGCAACCCAGGCGATTTTGTACAAGCTCTTCACCGTCTACCAACCTGGTGGAAATGCAGAGAGGGGCAATTTGTTGCGCAGCCTGACGGAGGTGAAGTGCGGCAGCTCCATCCAGGATACACTGGGCGCCATTCGAACTTGGCGCAGGTGGATTTGTCGAGCTGAAGAACTGCATGTGGCGATCCCGGGCTCGATGGTCTTGATTCAGGCCTTGTCCAAGGTTGCAGAGAACCTCACGAAGCATGGAGGAAGCCAAGTGGGATTCAGGATTGCAGCAGCTCGGCAGGAACTTGAGGTCGATCGGAGGCCCACGCTGACCACCACCAAGGAGTTTGCGGAGTTTCTCCAGACTGAGGCGGAGGATCTGGCGTTGACTATGCCGCATCCCTCGTCAGCCAAGACTACCAGTTCAGGAGCAGTCCTTCAGCCGGTAGCAGGAGCTCAGCCAACGATTAAGGCCTTGGGGGGTGGAGGCGGTGGCGGAGATGGACCACCAAAGACGAAACATCCATGCCGCTACTGGGGAACGACTGGTGGGTGCAAGCGGGGTGAGACCTGCACTTTCGCCCATTCCTGGGAGGGCATCAACAAGGCGGACAGGTGTTTTCATTGCTCTGGGGAGAACCACTTTGCAAAGGACTGTCCATATGGTCGAGACGGGGAAGGATGGAAAGAAGACGGCCAAGTTGAAGGGAGGTGGAAAAGGGACGTCGGAGAAGGAGGAGACTGGCCTGAGTGACAGGTCAGGCACTACTTCATTGACGAGCTCTTTGTCCACGTCTACCAGGCCGGTGTCCAATGGTGGAGAAAAAGGACGGGATGGTGGAGTTGAAACAGAAAAGAAGGGTGATCCGGCATCGGAGCTAATCACCGAGGCCACATCCCTTTTGAAGTCTCTCCGAAGCATGAAGACTTTCAGATTGAAGCAGATCAATGTGGCAGAGACCGATGAGGGTCTGGAGCTTGCATTATTGGATGGTGGAGCTACTCACCCATTGAGAATGGCAAGATAAGATGAGCGGGGGAGGTTGCAGCCTGTGACGGTGGAACTTGCCCATGGATGTACAACATTGTACAAGCGCCCGGATTTCGACACTCTCTTGTCGCTGGAGCCAGTGGAGCCGATCTTGCCGTTGAGTCTGCTGGTGGAGAATGGGTATGCCATTCACTGGAATGGACAGGGTTGCACGATCATGCACCAGCAGCTTGGAGCTGTGAAGTGTTGGTTGAGGTCGGGGTGCCCTGTCATGAATCGAAAGGATGCCATGGTGATGTTGGCAGAGTTCGAGGAGAACCAGAAGAATCGGAAGAAGCTGTCCCAAGCGGACTGGAATTGGTGGCGCAGCATCATGCCGGACGTGCCGGAGGACGTGCTGGAGATGATGGTTGGGTTTTCGAGTGAACCGAGCCCAGAGCTGCTGCCGTGGAATAGACGTCAGAGGCGTCGACATCAACGAAGTCGTGGCTTGGTGATTCACCTCTTCTCTGGAGCAGATACAGGGAGGTGGAAGGGCACGCTGCCAGACGACATGGATTGGATTTTCTTGGATCTGGAGTTGGGAGATGGCTTCAACGTGCACAATGCGAATGTGTGGAGCTATATGTGCTCGCTGGCTAGATCCGGGAAGGTGAAGGGAGTGGTTGGAGGTCCGCCTTGCCGTACCACAAGCAGATTGAGGTGCAGGGGGCCGCCAGGACCAAGGAGGGTGAGAGGCCGTGGCGTTGATCGCTGGGGTTTGGAGGGGCTGACCGCCCGAGAGCGTGAACAAGTGCGAGGGGATTCCGCACTGGTGGTGAAACAGGTGGGGCTATGGCATCTTGCGGAGGAACATCGTGAAGGACCTGATCCGGTGGCATTTCTTCTGGAATCTCCGCAGGACCCCGCCAGCTATGTGGGAGATGGAGTTGAAGCCGGGCATGATCATCCATCTTTCTTTGAGTGGCCGTTGTTGAGGAGAATGGTGGAAGAGTATGGAATGAGCGTGGTGAGCTTCGACCAAGGAAGAACGGGGCACTCCAGGCGAAAACCCACGAGTTTGCTGACCAACCTTCGTCGCCTGGAAGACCTGGATGGACTCAGGGGAGGCGGATCGGCGGACCCGGTGGAGGGAGGACTACAGGAGAGAATGAAAGCATCTCGGTCGTGGGCACGATGGTCCAGCGGGCTGGTGAAGGCTATTGGACTGGCCTTGAACCTTCGGTCTGGGGGGAGAGCTCACTTGAGTCTGGCCAAGATGGATGTTGAGGAGTGGAAGAGACACATCAAACAGGAGCACGTTCCCTACAGGAGAGATTTTCGGGATTGTGTAGAAGCAATGGGTTTCTCCAGCCCACATCGGCGATCCAGAAATGCCTCTTCGGCCTTTGTGATGGCGGTGGACATCATGGGTCCATTTGAACAAGGGAGAGATCTTGGATTGAACCAGTGGTGCAAGTATGTGATGGTGGCGACAATCCCGGTGCCGATTGTGAAGGATCTAGCTGGGGGACCAGAGGAACCACTGGACCATGAGGCGGAGGTCAAGGATGTGGTGGAGATGGAGGAAGAGAAGGAGGAAGTAGAGATGGCGACAGAGGAGCAAGTGACGGAGCTTAACATGAAGGCGGCACTGGAACGAGCCCAGGAAGAGGTTCCGCTCCAGAACCTTACGATTGCAGAGCCGATGCAGTCTCGAGCGGTGGAGGACATCGTGCAGGCGCTCTCCAAGGTTCATGCCCACTACAGGATGCTGGGGGTGCGGCCATGTCGGCTGCATTCGGACAGGGAGAAGTCCTTCCTCACGAAGGCTGTGGCCAGGTGGGTTCAGGCCAGGGAGATGGTTCACACGATGACCTCAGGTGATGATAGCCAGTCAAATGGCAGGGTGGAAGCAGAGCTTCTGCAGCTCAAGCGAAGGATGAGGCTCCTTCTACACACCAGCAAGGTGGAGGCGTCGCTATGGCCATGTGCATTGAGGCATGCTGCCACTCAACGACTTCGCCTACAACTTCAGAGGCTGGGAGTGGGATCGAAGCCGATGGTCAACTTCGGATCGATGGTCATGGCTAAAGCCAAGAGATGGCATCACAAAACTGGAGAGCTGACCAACCCGTTCAAGAGAGTGCAGGTGTTGGGACCAAGTCCGTTGATGTCATCTGGTTGGGTGGCGAAGGACAAACAGAACAGAATTCAACATCTTCGGACGGTGGTGACCCCTTCGAAAACCCTGGAAGCGGTGCTGGAGCTGCAGGAGGTGGACCTCAAGGACAAGGGCATCAGACATCGACTGACAGGCAAACAGTCCCTCGACCCACATCCACTAAAAGATGCGGTGGCTCGACATTTTGACGCAGGAGTCCAACCAGCTCTTCGGGTACTACGAGCTGGGGGGGAGACCACTGAACCGGTCACAGACCCCGTGGGCAATCCAATTTTGGAAAATCCGGAACCTACTCCATTGAATTCGTTGTCGGTATGGCAACCTGGGGAGGATGTGAATGGCATGATGGACTCCACCGATCAACCCATGGAGCCAATGGTGGGGGGAGATTGTGAAGAAGAGGTGGATGGCGTGGAGTTGGAGGTTTCCGGTCCGCTGAGGGATTACCTGCAGGAGTTGGAACGGGACTTCAGTGGTGGTGGCCTGGAGTTTGTGGACGATGAGGAGGATGTCGATGAGGTGCATGGTCGATGAGACGGAGCCGGAGTCGGAAGGAGATGAGTTGGGGTGGAGAGCTTGGGAATGCCTTGCGGAGCTGGCCATGGTGTGCCCATCAGGTCCCGACCGAGAATCCAAGAGATATTCGCGGCTGTGGGGTGGTGATGAGCTCCATGCAAGCGGCGGTGGAAGGTACGCTGGACTTGGTGGAGGCGACACAGATTTCCTGCGGTTTCTGTGGTGGCAACCTTGAGTATGTGGACGACTACCGAGAGCGTCGGACCGGAGGGCTATGGAAGGGCTCTAATTGCTCTTGGGATCAAGCTGAGGAGTGGCGCGCCATGGGAGGTGAGGTCGCACTTGCTAATGAAGAGGTTGTGGAGTGAAGAGTTGCGCCATCAGGCTATTGGAGAAGAGCAGGGCCGTCAGAGAGGGCGATGGATGGCCGCTTTGGAAGCTGGACTGTTGGTGCAAGAGGATCATTTGGAGGACCAACATCGTAAGCTGGAGTCGGTGAGGTTGGCTGCAGTGAAGAATGAAGCAGGTTTGGAGTTGCAGGATCCTGGAGCTCCTCCACCGGCGGTGTTGCAAACCTATGCAGTCCCTCTTCAACGAGTCCGACAGGAGCTTGCGGCGTGGGTGCCCCCGATGACTGATGAGTACCAGTCCTTGATTGAAGGAACTCGGGCATTGAGTCCGACGACCATGGAAGAGTTGGAGAAGGATCCATTGTTTGAGGCGATGGAGGTGGCGCCTGGGATGTTAGTTCCGACCATTAAGGCACCACATGGGAAGAAACGAGCGCGCATTGTAGTCTGTGGCAACCGGCTTGAAGCTCTGGATGGCAGTGGAGCAGCAACTTCAGGCAAGGAGGAGTCCCAGAACCTGTACGCTGGCGGAGCTGACGGAACAACAATCCGATGCCTTCTTCGGAAGGCGGCCGCTATGAGCTGGGAGATCGCAACTTGCGATGTCAAGACGGCTTTCCTTCTGGCGCACAGGGAGGACTCCAGTCGACGATTGGTGGTGGTGAAACCGCCGCGTATTTTGGTGGAAGCTGGCATTGTTGGACCTCGAGAACTATGGCGGGTTCAACACGCCCTCTATGGACTTCGATCCTCGCCGGCTGACTGGGCGACCTATCGGAATCGGTTGATGAGATCCTTTCAATGGCAGCATGAAGGGATGACCTTGGAGCTGCGGGAGACACCGGAACCCAACCTTTGGAAGATAGTTGAGAGAAGACCGCTGGATCAGGAGGAACCACCTCCGAAGGGATTCATTGGGGTCTATGTGGATGACTTCATCATTGTTGGTGCCAAGGACATCGTGAAGGGAGCCTTGAGCAGGATCGAGATGGAGTGGAAGTGCAGCCCGGCGGAGTGGGTCAGCAGCGAGAGATGGACGAAGTTCAGTGGATTTGAGCTGAGATGGAGCTCGGCAGAGGAGGATAGCGGGCTCTACGTGGGGCAGCAGGCCTACATCCAGGAGCTCCTCAGCAGACATCCTTCGGTGACCCCGGCTACGGTGCCTTTTCCAGGAGTGCCCAATGAGGAGCCAGAGGCGGAGGTTACATTGGAGGACGTGAGAAGGGCGCAGAGTGTGGTGGGCGAACTACTGTGGGTGTCAGTGAGAAGCCGACCCGACCTGGCGTATGGAGTGGCTTGGATGGGAAGACAGGTGACCCGAACACCAAAGCGGGTCTTGGAGTATGGATGTCAGATGTTGGGCTATTTGAAAACCACATTGGCATGGTCGCTTCATTATGGACGAGCACGGTCTTCAATCCCTGGGGAACATTACCATCCCACGATGAGGGTGGACGTCCTTTCAGACGCGTCGTTTGGACCTCCCTCTGGAAGAGGGTGTCAGGGCGTGATTGGAACCTATGGGGGAGAGCCGGTCCAATGGGAATCCAGGCAGCAAGCGTTCTGCACGTTGTCGAGTGCAGAGGCCGAGTTGCTGGGTTACACGGAAGCTATGACTATGGGGGACTCCTTGGCGGCATTGACCAATGTCTTGGAAGGGACTGGAGATGAGACGGGAACAGAATGCCGTTTGGGGGGAGACAACCAAGCTGGTCTTCGAATTCTTGAAGCGCCGGATGGACCTTGGAGGACACGTCACCTTCGCCTTCGAGCTCATGCACTACGAGAGCGGGTCAAATGGGGCGCTTGGAAGGTGATCCATATCCCAGGTCAACATTTGGTGGCCGACTTCCTGACGAAGCCAATTGGAGTTGCGGCGAGATGGCAGCACTTCTTCGCGGCAATGGGAATGAAAGCAGTGGTGGAAGCTTCTTCTGAGAGTTTAGGGTCCAAAGTGGCCAGGATTGCAGCTTTGGTAGGTGGGCTCGCGGGCGTGATGACTTGGCGGCCGTCAGGTCCCACGGGCAAGGCTGCTCAGAGGTAGCCGCGATGGTAGCTAGTTTGGCCACCAGCTGGAAAGCCGGCTGTGATTCTAAGAAGAGAGCCACTGGGCCAGCGAGAAATGAATATGTAGATCCACCTTATGGACTTCAAGATCAGGTGAGGGAAGATGAACCCACCTGCAGTAGAGACGATGGGTCGGAAGAGGAACCCATCATTGAACCTAGCCCTGAGGGCTCCCGGGATTACGCGATAGATGTGAGCCATGGCAGCAACTCGAAGAGGGCACGATTGGCCGCTCTGAGAGAGGGACCTTCGGCAGAGCTTGGAGGGACATCGTCAACGACTACTGGAGCGGCTCCAGCTGTGGACTATGGACGTGGAGGAGGTTTTCTATGCCTTCAAGGGGTCAAGATCGGTGGGACCGACTTCCAGGGGGATGGTGGGTCAGACACCATGTGAGGCAGAGGCTGAGACCTTTCCATCCAATCCATCGACGAACACCTATGGATTGCAGCCACATTCAAGATCGGAGAATCACCGTGTTGTGGTGTCATGGAGAAGGGGTGATCAGAGATGATGATTGGAGGAGAGACACGCAGCCACCTGTGAGGGATGCTTGGGTGGGATATACCTTTTTCCGGGATCTTCATCCAGACCCAACAGCGGGGACTTTGACTTCGACATCCAGTTCATCGACTACCAGAGGGCAGGGCGATCGGACGTCTTCATCGATGAGCAGTTCATTGACCTCCGGACCACCGCCAATGCCGGGCATTGCGGAACATGGTCCAGCGGCTGAAGGGTTGCCTCGAGATGTCCGACTGGATCGTCAAGGACAGGAGCCAAATCCTATGGAATCTGCTTCTGAACTCAGTACGAGGATGACCGAGGGAGTGAGCAGCAGTGGCCTTGGGGGCTATGGGCAGCGACTTCGTGGCCATCAACAACGAGGCGAAGTCGAAGGCTCGGGAACATCGGGAGATTCTCAAGAACTCTCTTTGGTGAGTGAAGAGATAGACAGAGGGTGGGACTATGACCCAGCCTATTGGGCACAAGGACCTGGAGGACATGATGGAACTACGCTGGAGGATGATGTGCGGGACGATTGGCTGGCGTTCACGCGGGACTTGACCGTTGATGCGGGGTCGCCTGCGAGGAACCGGCCGGTGGAGAGTGAGTCGAGCAGTGCAGAAAGACCTGACTGGAGGAGAACTCTGGCCAGTGAAGATGAAGAACCGCCAACCTTGGACGAGATGACCGCCCAAGGGTGGAGGGTGGTGCGAAGCAACTTGGCGCCCCCGAATCGGGAAATCTACAGAGGACCTGATCCTGTACTACCACCAACTGAGGACCCAAATCAGGAGACACCAACTTGGATGGGGGTGTCTACGCAGATGCCAGTGAGGCCCAGGTCAAATGACCCTTGGGAGCCGCGACGCGGTTTTTCTGGAACCTCAAGGGTTCGAGAGGACTCAAGCGAGTCCGATGGTAGCTTTGAGTGACTTCAAGGAAGTCAGGGGGAGTGTGAAAGTCACATTCCATTTCGAAACGAAACCACATGGCATCACGGAAAGCCAAGCGCTGTGATGACCTTTGGCTCAAGGTTCGGAAAAGCCCGACGCGCTGGGCACCCCATTTCATAACCACAGTTTCGTATTGATGGCGCCCGCAACCTTTCACAAACCGCTACTCCAAAACCATTGCCAAGTGCTTGACCGAGATGCGTTCCCTTTTGGCTTTGGCTGTGTGAGACACACCGATTTTTGTGGACTGATGTTGTTGAGTGTATTTGGTGCCAACTTTCCAGCAAGGAGTCTCACGATTCAGAAGAAGGAAGAGCTTGAGACTTGGCTGTAGAGACAATGCAGTTGGCGATTGTCCCTTGTCAGTGCGGCGCAATGCAATCGCTCGTCAATCGAAGGTAGCCTACGGCTTGCCTGTCACAGCAGCACCATCACTGAAGGACAACGAAACATTGCATGTGGAGGCTGTTGACTATCACAAGCAGCTCGCCTGGCTGGGTTGCCACTGCGTTGATGCATGTAGCTTGCGCAATAAGGATGATGGCGCAGCCGAACACGGTAATCATTGACGAACTTGAGCTGCAAGAAACTTTTCTGTGCGTCCCACGCCTTCATGTTGAAGTCGGTTGCGCACATTTTTAAGGTACGAAACCGGTACGAGACGGAGATAGGGCATTTCCAGCCACCACAGGGTGGTGCAGAGTTCATTGACCCCAAGGCCTTTCTGCAGTTGATTTGTAGTGTAAACATTTTTCTGCCGGGCGTGAGTGATGTGGGTTTCAGGTTCGAAATAGCCACGAGCTACCAAAGTGGCTTGGCATGCCGGAGACGCAGGACCTCTGACACCATTGAAGTAGCGGCTGCTGATGGCAGTCCCTGCTTTGACCCACAAGGAGAAGCTAAAGGGCAAAAAAGTGATGATGTATTGTGGCTTGCCTTATTGAAAGCTGTCAACCGTGACCCGAAGCTAAAACAAATGCAACATGTGAGAGTGCGACAGTGCTAGCGGACAAAGAGCAGTCCCCGCCAAGCTCTGGACATATTTCAGTTTTGCTCACCTACTAAAGATACTTAGGGTAGACTGTGCATATAGAAGTCATACCAATGGAATCGTAGCACAAACGCACACTCGGGATAATGTGTACGTACTTTTTGCAGGAAATCAGCCATGCTAAGCGTCTCTCCGTTTGACGCTCAACTGTTAGTTCAATCTGCAGGCGTACTGTTCACAAAGCAAGAGTTTGAAAGTCGACAGGTCACATCCAAAATTGACGGAGTTCTTTCAGAAAGGAATTCAGGGAACTCTTCCAGAAAGGAATTGTACATAAGCACTGAGACGTGCAAAATGACAAGAGAGATGAGAAGCCTCAAACCCTGGATGTGTAGGAACACGTGAAAGCTTCTTTCTGCCGCCTCGGTGAGACTTGCTTTTTTGCTTGTCGGCCTTACCATGTGAGCACTTTGGAGCATCTGTTTTTTACACTGGTTTTTGGTGTGCGCCAGATGGGGTTGTGCCAAATGGTGTGCGAACAATGTGCGAACAAACAAGTTTACTTACACTATGTTCACCGCTACTACCACTTGGAAAGGCGTTGCGCCCCCTAAACCTCTAGCAACCTGGCTTTTGTACACTTGAGAATTGTTGTTGCTTTAGGCTGTGTGGGGCTGGGCCTTTACTCTACACAAACCCGTCGCGGAAACAAATGCAGTACACTACACATAGTATGTCCTAACACCATGTTAGAACACACTAGTATGTACAAGCAGTTCCCGGGCAAGCCGGCGGCGGAAGTTTCCTATAAGAAGAAATTGACCTATAAGAGCGTCCACGTTCTCTCCAACATGCGCGTCCTCCAGTCAAACGCACGCGCTCCGGACTTTTGACCCACGGGATTCCGCGTGTGTAAGGTGTGTGCCCCCTGCAGGATCAGCAGCTCACAACAGCGTACTGGGTTGTATCTTTGCCACGACAAGAGGGGTGTATGACGAGTGGTGTATGTTGAGTGGTGTATGATGAGTGGTGTATGACGAGCGGTGTATGATGAGTGGTGTATGCTGAGTGGTGTATGATGAGTGGTGTATTGACCAGCAGTTGAATGTGCTGTCCTGCAAAAATGCAACCAAATACTATCAGTATGAACTGCGCCAAACCTGCGCGCCGCGAGAGATGACTCAGCAGCGAGAGATGACTGAGTCGCGAGAGATGACTCAGCCGCGAGAGATGGCTATAGCGAGAGCTGACTCAGCAGCGAGAGATGAATGAGCAGCAGTCGCGAGAGATGACTCACAGCAGCGAGAGCTGACTCAGCAGCGAGACTACACTTGTACTACAAAGTGGCCAGTTCTCAGCTTCCAGCTCCACAGGTTGTTCCGCGTGCTGAAGTTGTACTAGAAAGTCGCCAGTCAGTTCTCATCTTCCAGCTCCCCAGATGCTCCGCGTACTGCAGTTGTACTACACAGTCGCCAGTTCTCAGCTTCTAGCTGCACAGATTGCTCCGCGTACTAAAGTTGCACTACAAAGTCGCCAGTTCTCAGCTTCCAGCTCTACAGATTGCTCCGCGTAC